ACATCCCACCAGGCTGGCTTGTTAACCCGTAAGATCAGTTTTAAAAATAGACATCACTGAGGTACTGCTTCACCATGACATTTTTCACCCAATCCGCAATCATTACAGTGGTCTCAGGACCCTCTCTTCCAACCAGAACAAAAAATATCTAGGGGAGCAAGAGAGGTGGAGAGGCAATACAGTATACCATGGTAATGTGCTTCAGCTTCATCAAGTATTTAATTAAAAACAACAACAACAACAACAAAGGAAAGAACAACCCGTCAACGTGTTACCTTTGGTAGAAAAAAAACTAAACACAACACAAAAGAGCACCGCACCTCACCAGTCCCTGCTCAGTGAAGCAGTGCTTGTTGCAATGTCATGGTGACTAACATCCTGCTGGGTCCAGAAAAGGTACAATTACAATCCCAAAGTCTAAAGGATTCTTATTCCCTTCAAATACTTGATGTTTCCAACAACTAGACCCTTAGAATTGCTCCTAAAAGGGTAGATTTGCAGACATTCAAAATATAGATAAAATATTTTTCTCTTGAAGAGAAAAAGAGACCTAAAGGTCTTTATTTGCAGATAAGTCCTCAAATAGGTCAGATGAACCAGTAGTTTCATTAATACTGAACAAGGTAGTGGTGTGCATAATTCCTAGTTGCGGGGGGTGGGGGGGCAGATTGTTAAGTAATACTTGGGATTTAGGATGACATTTGCCTGAGTACAGGAATATTTGGTTTCCAAGTCAATCAAATGTTTCCCCTGGGAGAAGTCAGTTCTGGATTTATAAAAACATTTTCTTCTAGAGCTCGCTTCCCACTCCCACCCACTCTCCTGTGGATTAATACTATGCTTTTCAGAGACCCATGAGACGCTAACATGAGGTAGATGACTTTCACCAAAAGTGAGGTAGAAACTAAACGAAAGCAAACGGTGTGGTGTGGAACTGCGGTGCGTGTCCTGAGCCCCTGGCCTGCCGGAAGCCAGAGTGGGAGAGAGCCCCAGGAGGGCCTGGCTCTAGGATATCATCACAGGCGAGTAAGTTCAAGACTATGACTTTTATACAGCCCCAGACTGTTGGAAAATCAGTGAGTGATATTTTGAATAAATACCCTACATACTTTTTTGGCACCACTGGATTTTTGTTTTTAAACAGAAAAACAAGCCTATAACTTTGGCATATCCCTATCTACCAGAACACAGCAATTGTAGAATCTTCCAAAGAGGAAGACAACACATACATCAACAGTACTCTGCTGCTTCAAGCCTAAAAAGACTTCCCTCCTCAAATTATTAAGCTTTGGCTTAACTAGAATAAAACAGACTGAGCCAATCTCAAGCCATTCTCTTATAGCTCCATCACAAAGTGCCTGACATCTGGCAACTTTTTTGGCCCCAACACACAATTTAGATTCTGTTTATGGTACCCCCTGTAGGTGTTTCCCCAAATAAGTTAGACTTAAAAGGGCATCCATCCATCAAAGATTAGTACACTTGGGTCCTGCCTGGGCCACTGGGCTCCAGCCAACTCATGTGCCACCTACCAGCCACCGTAGAGCAGAGGTTTCTGAGACAGCATTGCTTCTTGGGACCAAATTTACAGAGAAATGATTTTTTCTTTTTTAAAAGATTAACACTTTGGAAATGTTAACTCTGTCAACCAAAAGTGGTTTGCACCTATGGGTTATTTAGATCTCCTTGAGCCATCTCAATACCCAAACTTACATATTCAAATCCAATCGGCATCTCCAAACACACACTGACCTTCTACCCCGCGCCACCCTGCCACCTGACCAGATCGGACACACGTGGGGATTATTGTCTGAATACCACATTTACTTAACAGAAACAATTTATACTCTTCCCTCGCAGTACCCACAACCTTATCTTTTCACCGTGTTCAAGACCCTCCTCGTCCACCCAATTCTTACCTACCCTAGCACCACCTAAGAGGCAGGAGATACCCAGTTAAAATCCCCAATTTTGAACAGCCTCACTCACACCGGAGTTCCAAATGTTGGCTTTCCTCCTCTTTCTTTGATTTGGAGCCTTCTACATCGTACAATAAACACACTCCAAAGTGCTTCGCACCAATCCCTGTGGGTCAGGAGTCAATCACGGGCAGCCACAGATGGCCAGTGTTTTAAAAACAAAAGCTTCCCAAGTGTGACCATGTTTCTCAAATGGCAGTGGTGCACAGTTTTGGGTGCAGAAAGGTGGGGAGATGTACCACCACAGAGGGCAGAGGCCGCATCACGCACCTACACGCTCATTTCAGGGGAGGACCTACTAGCTTTGAGCCTGCAAACCGGTCAGTCTATTAATTAAGACCTGATCATTTCAGTCAAGTGTGGAAACCCTGGCCTTACAACCAAATCCACAGAGAAATGCTAACTACAGTTTTACGTTACCACTATTCAGCAAGAAAATCTCTCACTCAGGTCCCACAATTCCCCCACATACAGGGACATTGGGAAGGACCCATCAGTGTGAAGATGGGAGAATCAAAGGTAGTGACTACCTGAAGTAACTCATCCCAGGTTTCTGAGAACACTTGTAAGAATTTTCAAGATCCGTTTCTTCAATAAAATTTTGTAAGCATTTAAAACCAGTTGTCTTTGGTGTTTAAAGGGTGGTTTGTTGGGTGGTTGGGGGGTGAGGAGGGGAGGAAGACCAGCACCAAGTTATTTCCAAAATAAAAAACAATAAAAATGTTTAATTACACAAACTCTTTACCAAAGAACTTAGAACCCAGGGGCAAATAAAAGGCAACCAAACAGGAACTGGGGAAGGATTCAAAATTAAAGGCTTCAATAAAAGAAAAGGCGGGTTTACAAAACAAGATTTCCTGACGCCTCCTTGCCCTGAAACAGCAGCTGGGAGGCAGCCGTCTGGTGCGACTTTCCAATTTCTGGATCCTTTACTGCATGCGGTTCTCCTTTATGAAGTGAGTTTTTTCCCATTTTGGTCATTCAGAAACCCTGGAACTAAAGCAATGGGGAGGACACAGGGTGCCTTGAAGTGGTAAATGTCCAAAAGAGCTGAACGAGAAAACCAATTTGACTGACTTGCTACACCACCCCCATCAACTCCTTTTCTTTTGGGATGACAAAAACAAATTGCTCCATGTGTCACTTCATTCGGTTCATTTAAAACTACATCTCTACTGCAAGGGGAGTTTCTCTGAAATACAGGAACAGAAACTGACGTTAGTCCTTCTGTTTGAACAAGAGGTTTCCCTGGAAGCAAGCCCCCGCCGTCTGAGAGCACCTTGGGCTCCTGAGGTGTGCTACTCCGGAATGTGGTTCTTCCTCAGTACTTTGGAGAATGTAGGGACCCAAATAGGTTCTCACAAGCAGGATATTAGCTATGCCTACTTTCCATGTGAAAGATAGATAATGTCCAGAAGCACAAGGCTCTGTACCCAAGTCCAGCTTACTACAAACCAACCCTGTAAAGTGACGGATGCCATCCCACAGTTCTGCAGCGGGAGCCTGGCTAAATTTTCATTCTTTGGTACCGAGACAGAGGTGTAACAAAAAATATTACAGCCTACATTTTGGGTTGGGGCAATTTGGTTTACAAATCTTTTACATTCAAAGGCCTTTGGGGAGAAAATTCATGTTAACCATGAGGTCCTACTGCACGTCTCAGGAGCAGACCACTCCGTAGAAGTGACCCGAGCAGAGGATGTAGGGATGGGCTGTTCCTAGTCATTTGACTGTCAAACATTCTATTTCCCTGAACTTCCAAAGCAGGTAAAAATTGTGCTTTTAAAGGAAAAGTTCAGAAAAAAACACCTAGCATTATTAACAGAACAACATTCAAGCAGAGGTCAGGGACTGACCTCTGCCCTCCCGCAGAGTTTGGGGGTAGCCTGTTGCTTTCTTATGCTCTCTATGGACCACCTTGGCACACGCCCGCCCACCCGCCTGCCCACACTCAAGTCCACAGGCCGGGCAGGTCTGACACCCTCTGAGAATGAGGCTGATTTTCTCCTTCCATCCACTGAACTTTATAACCGATAACAAACTAAAAATACTTAACTTTTGAGAATAGTTTTAATTGAAAATCCTAAGCTACATCTATTTTTTAGAAACCAAAGTGTGAAAAGAAAAGTTTCTTTGGGTGGTGGTGTATGATCTTCAGCTTTACTATTTTGGTATAAGATGGCTCAGACACACACACACACTACACATACACACCCCATCCCTTAAAAGAAGCAAAGATTACATACCCTAAAACATGAATAGAATAGTCTGCTTTTCTTGGCTAGCAAGCCACAGCCACATCCACATCTTCTAAGAATAAGAAAAGATGCTGAACAGGATGATAAACACACTGAGGTATTAGAGGAGAACACAGAAAAGTTCTCTGTTGCAGCATTGGGGGAAAAAAAAAAAGATTTCCTAAAAAGATCAAGATCACAACACAATCTAATCCCATAAACACAGTATTCTCCAGAACACAAATACTCTATAATTCAGCATTTTAAATCTTATTTTTCCACATTTTATAGTTTTTCTTTTTTTTTTTTTTTTTTTACTTAGTAGTTCTTTCATGTTTCCTTGGCTCAATCTACAGAATACACCCCACCACCCATCCAGTTCCCCCCGCCCCAGCCACAGAGACGCCAGGCTTGTGCATATCACGCCCCACAAAGGGTCAGAGGGGAACGTGAACTCCACTGAGTGAGGGTGGGGAGGAGGGCAGAGGGCCTGCTGGAGAAGGAAATGTAAAGATTTATGAGGTAGATAGAAATTATCACGTCACAGGCTCAATCCCTGCAGAAAAGATAAGTACATTCATCTGTAAAAAAATAAAGATGAGGTAGGACTTAAGCAATGTTGTACTCTTCTTGTTCTCTTTAAACAAAAGAAAAAAAGAAATTTCCCTGAGACTGTTTCTTCTTTGAAATTCAAAAGGAGAGAGAGAGAGAGAGAGAGAGAGAGAGAGAGAGAGAGAGAGAGAGACGCACGCACAGCCCAAACACGGAAGCCTAGAGAACGGGATTAGAAGATGAGGATCCGATTGTTGCCGAAGTCCACCACCACGATCATCCCGTCGGGGGTGACAGCGATGCCAGAGGGGCGGTCCATCTGCCCAAAGCCACTGCCTTGGGCACCAAACTTGCACAGGAAGCTGCCGTTGGACTCGAACATCTGCACCCGGTGGTTCCTGGAATCGGCCACAATGATGCGCCCCTCCTGGTCCACGGCCACACCCTGTGGGCGCAGGAACTGCCCATTGCCAGTGCCCTCGGAGCCCAGGAAGCGCGCAGACTGGCAGTCGGGGTGGATGACCAGGAGCCGATGGTTGTTGAAGTCGGTGACCACCAAGTGGCCCTCATGGTTGAAGGCCACACCCCGGGGGGAGTCAAAGTGCTTCCAGAGAGCCCCCTCGAAGCCGTACTTATTCAGAAAGATGCCGTCGGGCCCAAACAGCTGGATCCGGTGGTTGCGGGTGTCAGAGACCAGGATCTTGCCCTCAGAGTTCACCGCCACGTCCCAAGGGTAGTTGAACTGCCCGTTTTTGGTTCCCTTCTCACCAAACTTGAGCAAGAATTGGCCCTCGAACGTGAAGACCTGGATGCGATGATTGTCCTTGTCGGCCACCACGATCCTGCGGGAGGCATCGCAGGCCACACCGGCTGGCCGGTCAAACTGTCCGGGTCGGGAGCCCAGGGTGCCGAATTTGTGGTGGAAGGCGCCACACGGCTTGAACACCTGGATGCGGTTGTTGCTGCGGTCGGCCACGACGATGTAGCCCTCCTTGTCCACACTCACGCCCCAGGGGCGGCAGAGCTTGCCATCGCTGTCGCCCTCGCTGCCGAAGCTCAGGCCCGGGAGCCCGATGCCCACGTAGCTGCGGCCCGACTTGACCACCACCTTGAAGGGGCTGTTCTCGATGTGCTGGTTGCACATGGTGACCGACACCAGGTGCTCACCCTCTAGCTGTGGCCGGTAGCTCACCACGTAAGTCCCATTCTGCTGGTCGCTCACCTCGGCACCAAACAGATTGCCATCGGGGCCCAGGACCACAGCTGACATCAGGTCGCCCCCTGAGAGGCGAGGCTCCCCATCGTGGTCGTAGCCAATAACGGTGAAGGAGGCCACCTTACCCTGGAGGGCCCGCTTGAGGCCATCACCCGTGGCCTTGGTGAGCGGTGCAAAGGCCCCGCTGCTGACGAAGCCGAAGGACTTGATGGCGAGGTACAGGGCCTGGTCGGGGGGTGTGAACATGACGCGGTCGTCTTCCTGGGGCTGCAGGAAGCTGCGCACGGTCTTCAGCTCCTGCACCTGGGCCAGCATGCGGTCCCGGGCCAGCAGGACGTCCAGCGCCCGGCCCTCCTCCAGGACCTGCTGGACAGCACTGATGGTGCTCTCAAGTTTGTTGAGGCTCTGCCGCAGCTTCTCCACCTGCAGGTACAGGGACTTGGCTTTCACCTGGCGGATCTTCTCTACCTGGAGAGGGGAGAGCAGGGAGAGAGGACGGAGGCTTTGAAGCAAGCAAAAACAAAGTAACTGACGATGGACGAGACTGCCCTTGCTCAGAAGGAACAAACACAGAAGCGTTTGGGGGTAAAGAGGCATCCTGTCTCCAACACACCAATCACATACAGAGTAGGGAGAAAATGGGGCAAAATGTAAATAATCAGTACATCTGGGCGAAGACAGAGGGAGTTCTTTTACTATTCCTGTCACTTAGAAATAAAACATAAAAGCTAAGCACAGCCATATAACAAATGTTTACTGAGCATCTGCTTTGTGCCAGGCCCTGGAGGTGCGTAGTGACAGGTCGAGAATGTGGCCCTCACCAGCAGCACTTCCCAGGGGACTAGAGCACAAGGCCGGTCTTACACTCCTGAAGGGCTGAATTTTCAGCAGAGCTATAGAGCCTGCAATCTCTTCAGTGATTCCTCCTCCACTCTACCATCCCTGCCTTGCCCCACTGCCCCACTCCGAGAGAGAGAGAGAGAGAGAGAGAGAGAGAGAGAGAGAGAGAGAGAGACAGAGAGAGAGAGAGACACAGAGACAGAGAGAGAGACAGAGAGAGAGAGAGACAGAGAGAGAGAGAGACAGAGAGAGACAGAGAGAGAGAGAGAGAGAGACAGAGAGAGGAGAGGGAAGGAAGACAGTGTGTGGAAAGAGTGAAGGGATTTGTTGGGAACCTAATTCAAGATTACAACCTGTACCCCCCTGGCCTGCCACACATCCCACAGTCCTCTTCGTGGTTTTTTGTCTTCACAGGGAGCCCGAAAGGCCACACAGCCCCCAAATTTGGAAACGGTAAGTCCCTGGAAACCACTGGCCTCTAGTATCTCCAGAGGAGCCCTCTCAATCTAAATTGTTGTAACACAGAAACCTGAATTCTGACCTGCGTAATTCTGCTTCTGAGGTTCTGAAACCCACGATTTGGGAATGTGGGATTGTATGTGACGAATGAAACAGAGCCACTTACCCATTCTTGTGCATTAAATTAGTCAAAGACCACCAATTCGAAGTGATCTCCCCTGTGAAGGGGAGAAATGAGTCATCTAGCTGATTCATGCCATCGTGTAGAGAGAACCAGGACTGCTGAGGGCTCTACTCATCAGAACGCCACAGAAAGTCTACTTCAGAATAAGGCCTGGATTTCAGTCAGATTTTCCCTCGGGAAGGGGGGTGATGATGGGATTTTTGACCCAGTCATACTTTTCCATCTGTCCACTCTGGAAGCAAGACACGTACGTGTAGAGGGGCCCATGTGGGGACAGATCAAAGAGAAGCTTTGTCCTTTGGTTTTTGCACTGGGCCAAACCTCTGGGCTTTGGTCTGGATTCCTCAACTAGGTGGTTGCAGCTAATCCCACGAGGTCACCAAGTCCCCTGGAAATCTGTAAGCCACAAGCATGAAGAAGTGCATCTAGATACCCAAAACTGGGTCACCTGGCACTCAAATATCTTCAGTAATGGGGAGTGCAAGAAAAAAGATGTGTAACAAGGACGTGGCCGGGCAGAAGACAGGCAGGAAAGCTTTGCTGGGAGGGGCAGAAGAGTCAGTAATTAGTAAAAGAGAGTGGGAGTCCTACAGGATTTAAATAAAAAGTAAAGACAAATGGGACTGAGGGTGTGTCCAGAATGAGCATGCGTATTTTGGAGGTTATCTCAGAATGAGTTTTTAGAAATGTAGAAACAAAGTATATTACACAGAGAGACTGACTCTTCTTCCAAATTTGCTTCTCCAAGACTAAAAACTTGCTCCCCATGCCTCCTGAAAGAGAACTGCCTTTAGGGAGAGGACAGGAGTTGGCCTCACAGGAGGGAGGGTACCTAAGGTGAGATCTGCAGAAACTCCTTTCCACAAAGGCCTTTTCATCAGCAAATCCAGAAGAGCAAGTTTGTGGCAGAGTTCACCAGGGAGCTCTCAGGTTGCACAAAGTGGGCCCCTTTCAGTTATAATTAACATTCGTGGGTGGCATGAGCCTGGCAGACCACGGGGGCATGTGAGTGTCTGGAAACCATGTCAGGCCTGCAAAGGTGCCTGCATAAAATACATGCTGAATTAAATCTTAAAGAATTTTTCTAGCCAAGGACCGTTCTCTTCTCGTCAAAAGGTAACTGAGCCATATTCCTCGAGAGGTCAGCAAAGGCAGAAAGCAGTTAGTTACGTGCTAAATAAATGGAAAATGCGAAGCAAAACCCAACACAGCCTTCCAGAACATTTTAGGGCATAGTGATTGGTGAGGATCACTTTCAGAAATGGAGACCTCATCTCTACTTTTGCATAGTTTAGATGATTAAAAGGAGCATGCACACACCTAAGTGCACCCTTTTTAATGAGCTATGTGTATGGTCTTATTCACGCATTAAGAAAATGTCATTTTGGAGCTGAACTGACTTGAGGTACTGGCCCATTCACAGGCATTTTCTCCCCTCTTCCTGGGGCAGGGGGTAAAGACCAGAGAAGAAAATGTTGGGATGAGGACTTGAGTGGGGAAAGTCATCTTTTCAGTTGATTTCTCTAAACAGCACACCAGTCTGCTCAGCACTCTTTCCTGCTGCAACAGAAGAAAGGGCATTTGCTCACTGCCCTCCCTAGTGGTTTTCCACAAGGGGGCAGGAAGTGCAACCAGGCAGGACACCAAAAAATAAGGATACTTCCCAGCAGCCTGCTTTCATAACAACAGTCTCGACTGCGCCCCCTTCTGTCTCCCTGAGTATGCGCAACATAAAATGTGAGGCTCCTTCCAGTCCTGGGTGCCGTCCTGAGAAGACTTCTTGTGGCTTTAGTGCTCAGATGGCACCCAGTGTGTTACAGGGAGCCCTGCATCTTCCTGCCAACACACTTCATGGAAAACCTCCAACTGTTCTCCACTCCAAGCCAGGATCTGGGATCTGACCTGAGAATCCTCGTGGTTTTGCTGCAGTTCACTGAAAAACTGCTGGCCGGCCAAGAGGCCCGGGGTGGGGGTGGGCAGCACTCCTTACCTTCCACAGCAGCTCACACTCCCGCTCCTCCAGGGCCTTCTTGTGCCTTGCCGTCACGGCTTTGACCTCCGACTGTACCACCTTTGCCTTCATCTCTACCTGCTCTGCCACCGTCTGGGCCTGCTCGATGCTCAGCTGGAAAAGCAAGAGCAAGGTCATGGCGTTAGAAGGACCTCCACTCCTCAAGCAAAACATTTAAGTCTGCTTGTCGCAAACCCGAAGAGCTACCACCTTGGGCCCCCGAGACCACTTGATCCACTTCCCTGGAAAGAAAGCAGGCACGCAAGGGGAGCATGGCACCTGTCTGACATAGCCGAAGGGGCCGTGCCAAGTGCTGGGTTCCTTCCTATGGGAAATGGCACTTACACGTAGGTCAACGTCAGCACTCTTAAGAGCTACTCCGACACAATGAAACCAGTGTAGTTGGGTCCAAGCCGAAAAGCGGGAACGAGGACGGGACTGGCACACGAACCAGCTCCCCACAGACTTTCTGGCCTTCCTGGCCACGTGGGAAAACCCGGCAGGCCAGCACAGCACTCAGGTCAAGGTGTGTCATTGCTGCAGGCCAGCAGGTAGCCATCATGTTCCTGTCATGTCATCAGCAGCACAGTTCATTCCAACCCCAAGTGACACTGGGGATACTGTCTGATCTGCCACAGAACCACGCACACCGTGCCCTGTGGTCAGTCCGCTTGCCAGACCATTCCTGCACCACCACACACCCTACTCTGTACCACCAGCCCTCGGTAAATCAGCCAGTTTAATCAGGCGTATTATTGTTCATAAAAAATTAATCAAGACAGAAGGCCCAGTGTTTTCATCAATATTACATGATGTGTCTTGAAAAGCCACAAGGATTTCTTTGAGATACTGAAGTATTAAATCAGGGATTCCAAACTGCCGATGGTGCAACAGGTCTAAGGGTGTTATTATGTCCCACATCAGGAGGGGCCTAGAGAAGCGCACAGGGTTTGGAGCTTAGGAATCGCTCACAGGTGACCAACCGTGAGTGTGCCCTGGAGTGAGGGTTTCCAGCATGTGGACCACAACTACAGCTGAGGCCATCTTGGGGAAAGCAGGCTGGATAGTCATTCTAGGCGTCGGCCAACCCAGCTTCAAACCCTAGCTCCATGTCCTACTATTTGCAAGGCCCCAGACAAGTGCCTGGCCTTCTGCAACCTCGGCCAATAGGAGGAAAAGACAGGATAATACATGGAAGGAGCTCAGCACAGCAGTTCATAGAGTAAAACATCACCAACAGTGCTCAGCTGAGAAACACTTGCAGTAAGACCACAGGCATCCTTTCCCTTCATCCCACCTAGCTCCTGTCATGCAGGTACAGTCATGTACCTAGGCCCACGCACACTTCCTGACCCATTTTGCTTTTTAAATTGTGGTAAAATAGGTAGAACATAAAATGTACCATTATTGACATTTAGCACATTCCATATTGTCTAAGCATCACAACCACCTAGCTCCAAACGCTACCATCGTCAAAAGGAAGCTTCCATACCCATTAGGCAGTCTTTCTCCATCTCCCCACCAACTCCCCCATGGCAACCATAATCTGCTTGGTCTCTACACTTCTGTCTATTCTGGATAGTTCACAGAAATGGAATGAAACAATACATGAGCAGACTTATTTGTACGAGTATGATTTTCAACAGTTGTGACTCATTTGTCACTTACAACTGGCCCCCCCCTTAATCCTCTCAGTCTACAAGACACGCCAATGGCACGAAAGTCACACACACATTGCAGCTGCCCCCAAACCACCCATGGCTGCCGTGGCTAACTGCTCTTGGCATTCTTTGCCCCAATCCCTGTGAGGCCTAAAGATCAGAGGTGGCACTTGGGCTGATCAAGAATGCTCATGGACTATCCATGGCCTGGAATGCTTTCTCTTCCAAATTCACCCTAAATTTCAAAAACCCAAATCAGATGACACTATCTTCCTGAAACTGGCAGTGAAGGACACCTTCCCATGTTTCTGTTCCACCTTTACTACCCTGTCCCAAGTGTCATTACATAGCACACTACGTGGGGGTTAGGTACATAGCCCATGATACTTCGCCACTGGGTTGTAGCAGGAACGATCTCTATATTTACACTTGCTAACGTCTACGGCCATAACCATATTCATCAAAGCAGTAGGTAACTATAGTGGGTTAAATATTGTCTCCCCCACATTCAGGCTGATTAGTTAAGAGGAGGTCAGACTGGACTAGAGAAGAGTCCTAAATCCAGTGACTGAAAATCACTTAAGGCCATGTGAAGACAGGCATGCAGAAAGAAGACCACATGAAGGCAGAGGCAGAAATTAGGAGTGATGTAAGTGTAACAAACCGAGGAAAACCAAGGATTGCTGGCAACTACCAGAAGCTTGGAAAAAGAAGGGCAAGATTCTTCCCTATAGCCTTCAGAGAGCACAGCCTGGCTGACACCTTTATTTTTGGGCTTCCAGCCCCCAGAACTATGTGAGAATAAATTCCTATTATTTAAGTCACCAGTTTATAGTCATTTGTTATAGCAGCCCTAGGAAAGAGCAGCCACCAAATTGAAGCAGATGGAACTATCGAAATTACCAAAAGATAAAAAAAATTAGACTGACCCATCAGTAAAAGCATATAAGCAGGTCTCATGATGGACTTGGCAGATTCCAAACATCTCAGGTGGTCAGGGTTGATTTAGAAGATGGGAAATCTCGCTAGATACTTAAACAGAGATAATTGAACGTAGAAAATGGGGTTGAACAGTTAGTGGAGAACTGCCAGGGCAAAGGGCACACAGAGGATGACAGACAGACCATGCCTGCAGTCGGCAGCGACCACCCTTGGGCCAGGAGAACAAAGAGAGCAGAGTAGGGGTTATAGGTAGGGACTGTGCCCACCTCATTCTGGAAGCGGCCGAAGCTGGGAACTGGAGCTAACCCTCTGCTGCTGGGTGACAAACTGCTGCTGCTAAGAACAGAAAGTCAAACGGAAGAAGGAAGTCCCCTTTGCCAACGTCCGGATTTGTGGTTGGAAGTGCTGTGACCCAGCACCACACAGCAAGCGTGTGAAAGGGTTGGTCACGATGGAGAGAACTTAGTAACCCAAACATCCCATCTTCAGATGTGTCGGCATTAATGAGCACCAGCTCATTAATGAGTCAATACGCGACCAAGGCAACACAGCCTTTGTCCGTTTATTTCTTAGCTTCCTCAATGGAAAGCAGAGGTGGCAAAATGCTTTCTATTTATACCAATGCCATATTACTTACCCAACTGATTCTCCATAAAAAACAGAAGAAATGGAAGTAACAGGCCTACATTCCTACAGGGCAAGAACTGGCAGGAGAGCACAGTGACCACCCCCACCCCCTCTGTGTAGCAAGTGGGTTTACACAGCAAATGTCTGTCTACTCACTTCTCCCCCTACCGTCTCCTAGCAGGCCTGCTCCCTCGATGTTTCCTGCCAGGTCTCTAGCAGGCCCTTAGGACTGTAATTCCCATTCTAGGACAAGAACTGTTTCTTCCATTTTTCAATCAGGTAGAAGGGGTACAAAGCCCTTACTGTAATTTGAGGGATCCCCAAGTGTGCAAGGATAGGATCATTCTTAGGGTTCAGAGTCATAAAAGCCCTATGTGTAGAGACAAAAAATAGAGCTTTCTTTTCCGAATCATACACAGTCCCGTCAAGCGCTGCATTCCAAGATGCGCAGACCAGGACCTGCCAAACTAGTTCCCATTATCTACACAGGGCATTTGAAGGAAACGAGAGGCAGGTGGGGTGGGGAAACGACAGCAGGTAAAAGGGATGAATAAATTTCAAAAACAGAAACATTCAATTTGCAGTAAGGACGGATAATAAAAAATTATCCAATAAGCATGGGGCTTGAGGGGAAGAAAGTTATCTTTTAGATGTTAACGGATCCAATCAAACATCTGAAAACTGAAGGTCTCAATCTGGGCAGGCCAATCAGTGCGTGCCAGCTGAGTGCTGAGTACTGGCCACTCAGTACAGGGGAGGTGGAGGCCACCTGGGTTTCGTAGGAAAGAGCACAAAAGAGATTAATGATGTCTGCAGGGGGGCACGGGGCAGCCAGATGACTGCTACTGAAGTGCTCGATGGGCGTGCCCAGGTGGTTCAGTCACGTAAGCTTCTGACTTCAGCTCAGGGTCCCGGACGGAGCCTGGCATCCAGCAAACCACTCAGTGCTAAGTCTGCTAGTCCCTCTCCCTCTGCTGCTCCCCCTGCTTGTGTGCATGCGTGCATGTGCTCGCTCTCTCGTCAAATGAACTGGGAAAAAAAAATCTTTAAAAAAAGGAAAAGAAGTGTCTTGATAGGCAGAAGATGACAGAATGCAAATGTCACCCATAAACTCACAGACCACAAAACCAGATATGGGAACTACTGTAGTTCACTCTAAAGTGTAATTTTATCACATTTAATACCTTTGAAACTATGATTCATCTTAAAACTGTCAATGGGCTTCTTCCTTTGTTAGGTGTATATAAAATAAATGTGCATATTACAATCAATGGTGTCTTAAGTGTGACTGAAATAATCAAGGCTCTCTTTATGTGGAGAGCAACCATATCCTTAATCTTGATTATGGGTATCTCCCCCATCCCAGGGGATCAGTGCACCTTATGAAAGGCTCTAATTACAAAAGTGGCCAAAATGTTATACTTCCAGGAAGACTGGTCACCCTTAGAACACTGATGAGATCACTACAAACATCTCTCAGGCTTCCTTTGTTGTCGGTAGCTCTAGACCCTCATCATAGTAAATTCTTTTTACAGGACTAAATAGAATTAATTGGGAGAATTTACTTCTGGGTGTTTTTTCTAGAACTAAGACTCTCAAGCTAAATATAGACAAGTAGTCTCTCAGAGTTATAACTTAGAAACTGTGGTTCACAGTCAACTGTACATCTGACACTTGTAATTTAATAATGGATAAACATCCCTGGCTGAAGAAAGGGAATGGAGCTCCTACAAGTTTTTTCTAAACAAAAGCTGGTAAAAGTCCCAAGTTGTACTGAGTTCAGATATATTGTAAAAGGTCACTGATACTCATTAAAGGTGGTGTAAAATTGGTAAGAACTTAAATCTGCCTGCAGATTTGGTGTGGCTAGTGGCCTTTACTTTTGGGACGTGTTCATGCTTATTCATTTGGCCCAGCGGACGCTTCACTACCATCCAGGCATGGTGCCCAAGGAGGAATGAAGGACGCCAAGCCAATCAAGGGCCCTACCCTGAAATTTTACAAATGGAGGTTCCAAACTCTCCCTCCACCCCAAAAGGGAAGAGGAGAGGAGAAAGGAAACTCACTCTTTCCCTGAGAATGGCTTGCTGGAACAGTGCAGGACTGAAGAGATGCCCATGCATGCCAACCATGTTCAACAGCAAGAATGAGGTCACCACGGAGAGAGGCAGAGCTAAGTGACAGAGTGCTGGCATCAAGGTCTGAGACCCTGGACACCTGAAGCCTGATCCATCCATATTCTCCTACCCAGTCACCTGAGACTATTCATCTCCTTTCATTCAACTGCAACAAAGGATCCTAATTAAGACAGCATGGGAAAAATAATTATTGGGTCATGATGTATTAAAATTCTTCCAACCATTTTTCATCACATTTGTGTGTATTATTTGCAAATACATGAGAAGGGAGTAGGCGGGAGCACAGCTGCCTCCCAAATGAGAGGTGACCATCAGTTTTGGGTTCAAACTGCAATTCCTCTACTCATTGCTAGTGTGACTTCTGGAGGGTTACTTAATCTCTTTCAAGCAAAGTTTTCTCTCTACAAAATGGAAAGAATGACACCCAAACCTCAAGCATTATTTACAGAAAGTGCCATTTTCAGTGCCCTTGGTAAACAGGGACCGCTAATTCTTACTGACGAATATAGAAGGCCTATGGTTAATGAGATCTGGGATCTTGGGCACAACAACTAAATTTTGTTCTTCCATTTCCATATTTGTAACAGTAATTTGTAATTTAAAAAAACAAAAAACAACATTTTCTTGATCTACTTTCTGGGCTAGTTTATATAAACTTATATAAAATAGTAGGCATTCTCAGCATTCCTTGTGGTCAACTTCCCAGCATGGCAAGGAGTTCCTGCAGGTTACATGGTCTAGGAAAGGGATCGAACAAAAACAGAAGTTAGGGAACCAAAGCAGTCCAGAAAGTCTAGATGAACTTACATTTTAATTTACAAAATTTTAAATTTTGCTTAGCCTTCCAGCCCATTCCTAATTTTTGTGCTAAATGGTACAATATCTATCACTTTTGTTTAACATGTAAAGTGCTAATGTTTCCTTTTTTAACCACGCAGGCAACTTAAGTTTACTAAAGGACTAGTTACCCTTATCATGACTACTGACTTTCTACTAATATCAGATGAAAAGTAACAGAAAGGTCTACCTTATTTAAGGCTATAGTGCACTTGGATAAAAACTACCCTGCAAATGACTAAAATTAACAATACAGGAAACAACAGATGTTAGGGAGGATGCAAAGAAACGGGAACCCTCTTACACTGTTGGTGGGAATGTAAACTGGTGCAGCCGGTTCTGGAAAACAGTATGGAGGTTCCTCAAAAAGTTAAAAATAGAGCTACCTTATGACCTGGCAATTGACTAGCAGGTATTTACCTAAAGGACAAAAAAACACTGATTCGAAGGGATACATGCACCCTGAGGTATACAGCAGCATTATCAACAATAGCCAAACTATGAAAAGAGCCCAAATGTCCATCGACTGATGAATGGATAAAGAAGATGTCTCTCTCTCTCTCTCTCTCTCTCTCTCTCTCTCTCTCTCACACACACACACACACACAGGAATGTTACTCAGCCATCAAAAAGAATGAAATCTTGCCACTTGCAATGATGTGGCTGGAGCTAAAGTGTATTATGCCAAGTGAAATAGGCCAGTCAAAGACAAATACTGTAGGACCTCACTCATACGTGGAATTGAAGAAACAAAACAGATGACTGTAGTGGGGACAAAAAAAGAGGCAAACCAAGAAACAGACTCTAAACTATAGAGAACAAACAGGGTTACTGGAAGGGAGGTGGCTGAGATGGGCCAGATGGGTGATGGGGATTAAGGAAGACACTCGTGATAAGCACGGGGTGTTGTTAAGTGATGAATCACTAAATTCTAAACCGGAAACTAATATTATCCTGTATGTTAACTAAATGAAATTTATTTTTTATTTATTCAGTTGAGAGAGACAGAGAGAGCGAGTGAAAGCACAAGCAGAGGGGAGGGGCAGAGGGAGAGGGAGAAGCAGACTTCACGCTGAGCAGGGAGCCCAGTGAAGGACTCCATCCCAGGACACTGAGATCATGGCCTGAGCTAAAGGCAGACACTAACTGACTGAGCCACCCAGGCACCCCAACTAACTAGAATTTAAATAAAAAATTGGAAGGAAAAATAAATAAACCAAACTCGCCTGCAACTGATATGTAAGACCGGATTTTGGCCAGTGGATAGAAGAGTGTTGTGTAAGCCTTCTGGGAAATCTTACAAAAGGCCAGAGAATGTCAGTTCCCTTCCAATGGTCCAGAATATAGATATGTCACCTTGAGTTCCAGCAGCCATTTCTGGGCATAGGGATGAACATCAACACCTCCGTACAGTGGGGTGAAGCTGAAGGTGCCTCCAATGACTATCAGTATCTCCAGACTAAGTTCTTTAAACAGGAGAGATTAAAACGTTGCATATTTAAGCCACCATATTTAGGAGCAGAGTGAAAGCCTGTTACTTATGGCTAAATTCGTCTCCTACCTGATGAAAACAGAAGAAAATTCTAAACTGTGACAGAAAGCGGATGAATGATTGCTTGGGGACATGGAAACAGAATGAAGGATGTTAGAAAGTGATGGACATGTTCCTAACCTTGACTATGGTGATGTTTTCATGGGTGAAATTCGTGTTGAACGTATGTTGGTATGCTTTAAATATATATGCAGTTCATTATCTATCAATTTTCCTCAAGAAAGCTGAAAAAATTTTGCCTCAGTCCCACCATATCAGTAAAACACCACTATTTATATTTTGGCCTATTTCTACTTCCTCCCCATAATCTTTTTATGCATTGTTTACTTATTTTAAGTAATTTTTCTTGAAGCAACTTCAGGATCTGCTAATTTTAGTTAACACCATTTTGTAATGTGATCACGAACATTTTATAAATATTAAGGGGCTAAAAACCCCCAACTCCTATTGCTGACCATTCATACTGGTGCAATCCATACCTTCAGGATAAAGGACATGTCCTTGGAGGTAAGTTTCTTCCACATTTAAAGCTCTGGATATTGTTCAAAACATGTTCTCCCACCCACAAAGATTGAGTGTGGTGTACATACTTTGTTCCTTATCCAAAATAGTACTTTGGTGTCATTTTAATTGGTTTACTACTCAGGCTGAATATACTTCTGTATATTTGCATTAAGCGGCTGGATTGTCCCTTTGGAAGGTATCTGCATCTTTTTCATTCCTTCACCTGTTTGTGCCTTCCTTCTAAAAAGTTGTACTTACCTATTATGATCTTCTTGGAGTAACTATTTCTCTTCTAGTTGTTTTCCTTTTTTTTTTTTTTTCTTTAAAGTAGGCTCCACGCTGGGCTCGAACCCACAACGCTGAGATCTAGAGTCAGGTGCTTAACCAACTGAGCCATCCAGGTGCCCCAGTTGCTCTCCTTTTAATATACACAAGTTCTTGGGGCTCCTGGCTGGCTGTAGTCAGAAGAGCATGAGATTCTTGATCTCGGGTTCCTGAGTTTGAGCCCAGTGTTGGGTGTAGAGGTTGCTTAAAAATTTGAAAAACGTGCACAAGTTTCTTGTATCACTTCTAATCTTAGAATGCTTTCCTGCCTTTAGGTATTTAACATACATTTACCTTCAGTTTGGGTTTCTCTTTTTTTTTTTTTACTGGTCCCCTTCCTTTTCATGTAATAATCCTTTAACCTAGTTAGGTTTTTATTCTGGTATTTGCTATCAGAATTTAAACCTATTAAATCTATGCCTTTAACACCTATTATTTAGTTTGATTCTTAAGTTACCAGCAAAAAATAAAGCCTATTTCTGTTTCTTGGATCTGCCAATTTGCCAGTACAAACAAGCCATATTTAAAAGCTCCCGAATGACTCGTTTATTTAGTAATACTATTAAGAATAAATGAACACTCCTCCAGCAACCCAAGATGCCGAAAGGGAAGAAGGCGAAGGGGAAGAAGGTGGCCCGACCCCTGCTGTCGTGAAGAAGCAGGAGGCCAAGAAGGTGGTCAATCCCCTGTTCGAGAAGAGGCCCAAGAATTTTGGCATCGGACAGGACATCCAGCCCAAAAGGGACCTCACCCACTTTGTCAAATGGCCCCGCTACATCTGGCTGCCAACGGCAAAGGGCTATTCTCTATAAACGTCTAAAAGTGCCTCCTGCAATTAACCAGTTCACCCAGGCCTTGGACCGCCAGACAGCTACTCAACTGCTTAAGCTGGCCCACAAGTACAGACCAGAGACAAAGCAGGAGAAGAAGCAGAGATTGTTGGCCCGGGCTGAGAAGAAAGCTGCAGGCAAAGGGGATGTCCCCACTAAGAGGCTACCTGTCCTTCCAGCTGGGGTTAACACTGTCACCACCCTGGTGGAAAACAAGAAGGCTCAGCTGGTAGTGATTGCACATGCTGTGGATCCCATTGAGCTGGTGGTTTTCCTGCCTGCCCTGTGCCGTAAGATGGGGGTTCCCTACTGCATTATCAAGGGGAAGGCCAGGCTGGGCCGTCTGGTCCACAGGAAGACCTGCACCACTGTCGCCTTCACACAGGTCAACCCGGAAGACAAAGGAGCCCTGGCAAAGCTGGTGGAGGCCATCAGGACCAACTACAATGACAGATACGACGAGATCCGCCGCCACTGGGGAGGCAACGTCTTGGGCCCAAAGTCTGTGGCTCGCATCGCCAAGCTGGAAAAGGCAAAGGCTAAAGAACTGGCCACCAAACTGGGCTGAGTGGATGCTGTTGAATTTTCTGTACATAAAAGTAATAAAACGTTGTGTTTCAGGCAGTGTCAAAAAAAAAAAAAAAAAGAATAAATGAACAAGTTGAAGACAGTTTCTTAGACCAATGACGTACAAATCAAACTTGCGATTTAAATGTTCCTTGTAAAAGAAATCAAAATCTCTTCCTACCCCATCATCAGAATCATTCCGTATTTTGGTTTAAATGGACTGATTTTTTAAAAAGGGGGGGGGCGGCACCAATTATATGTATATTTTAAAATAACTTACTGCTCCCCCAAATTTTATGGTAATTGACTTGTTCCCCCTTCTTCAGTATTCATATTAAGAACAGAAATCATGGGGCGCCTGGGTGCCTCAGTCGTTAAGCGTCTGCCTTTGGCTCAGGTCATGATCCCAGGGTCCTGGGATTGAGGCCTGCACCAGGCTCCCTGCTCCGCGGGAAGCCTGCTCCTCCCTCTCCCACTCCCCCTGCTTGTGTTCCCTCTCTTGCTGTGTCTCTGTGTCTCTCTCTGTCAAATAAATAGATAAATAAAATCTTTAAAAAAAGTCTTCATACCATCTGCTGCATTCTTTAATATAAAAGCTATTAAATGGCAGCATCAAAATTATGTGGTTGGGCTGTTTACTTCATTAACATTTTGACCAACTGCAAGAAGAAATCAAGTGTCTTGGGACACCTGGGTGGCTCAGGTCACGACCCCAGGATCCTAGGATCAAGTCCCACATCAGGTTCCTTGCTCAGTGGGGAGCCTTCTTCTCCCTCTACCTGCTGCTCCCCCGCTTGTGCACGCTCTCTCCCCTCTATGACAAATAAGTAAATAAAATCTTAAAAAAAGAAAAGAAAAGAAATCAAGTGCCCAAAGCACCATGCACCCCCTCCCCCAGAGCAATGTCCTTTGCTGGCATTTCAAGGTTACTTATTTACCCTGTGGGGAACTTCTCAAAATCTCAGTATCTGTCATCCTTTCCATTGCTTGGTGACCAATAAAGGAAAAAACACTTGTAGACTCACACACAAGTCTTATTATCTTTTTATATCAATAAACAAAAGCATGCCCTGTGCTAGACAGTAGCCTCTTTTTCCAATGTCTTCCAGGAGTATTTTTTAAACGGCTTTGAGATGCGTCCCTGAGACAGGAATTCTACCTGAAGCTTTCAGAACTGTGTTCTCCCTTAATAAAGCAGAGGTTCAGTTAAATATTCACTGAACACATGCAAATTCCTCCCCATTCTCACTTAATCAGTCTCAGTTACCCACAACTTACCCATTTGCAAAATACTTACAATGAAAAGTGGGTCATACCTACTTCTGACCTTGGGGACAGAGCTTATTTCTAGTGCTCACATGGGAACAAACTGGCTCTTCAGGCAATGATTTTTGAGCAAAACTAACTTGTTCTCAATCTTTACCTCAACTTCCCTTTCCCCAAAGGCATGCGCTGGCATCAGTGAGTTCTGAGGGAAAAAAGGGCAATGTTTTTTCCACCAACACCCAGGGGACTTCCTTCTTAACACGTAGGAACCTCTCTACTTTCATTAGAGGGCCCCCAGATAGTCTTAGGAATGGTCAATGTATTGAGAACCTATTAAGAACATTCAGACAGAAATGGGTAGCCAATCCTACCCCAATCTTCAGACCACTAGCAGAGTGTAGGTTCTAAAGAATTATAACCAAGAGCCACAAAAGGGTACCCTTCCCCTGCCCCACACACTTAGTTACACAAGGATTTTCAAGAAGTCAATTCACAATTGATGCAGTTGATGTTCAGTAGGTGTACCTGGATGTGGCCATATAGATTATTAACAAACTAAGCCTTCCACCTCAGCCCAAATATCCATCTGCCACTTGGCTCCTCCACCCAAAATGCCCATCAGGCACCACAGTACCAACTCGCATTTGAATTTCATCCTGGGGTTCTTTCTTCTTCTTCTTCTTCTTTTTTTTTTTTTAAAGATTTTATTTATTTGATAGAGAGGGAGAAAGAACACAAAGGGAGAGGGAGAAGCTGACCCCCCGCTGAGCAGGGAGCCCGATGAGGGGCTCAATCCCAGGACCCCGAGATCATGACCTGAACTGAAGGTGGATGCTCAACCGACTGAGCCACCCAGGTGCCCCCGAGGTTCTTTTCACTACTCACACAACAGATGCTCAGTGAATGCGGACTAGATTTGTTGTAGGAAGTTTAGCACTGCAGACAAAACCTTCTGCACATCAACTTCTCTCTCCTCTCCATATAAAGTTCAAATTTCCACCTCCTTGACATTTCATCATTTTAACCACAGATCTCTCCTTAAGCTTCTGGCAAATTATGACAACTCATCTTTGTCTCCAGAGTGGTGGATCCCAGGAAGCGGAGAGCACCAGCATTTCTCTCAAACACATTTCGAGGACCCCTGAGTGTTCTCAATCTCCAAGGAGAGAAAGGGGTTGGTAAGGTAATACCACATTCTGGGGGCAGGACCCAGACAGCAGGTCTTTAAGTTCCCCCAGGTGATGCTGACAGCAGCCAGAGTCCAGGAGACACCAGCACCGTAAGGCAAATGACCAGGTCCTAATGGTAGTGGGATAAAAAGGGAAGCCACAAACCACTTCATCCATAGGGACAACAAGATCACCAAAATAGAAGAGAAATAAAATAAACTATGCACTAGTGGGGATGCTGGCAAACAATAATTTAACGAGTGACCAAGAGCCACTCCGAAGGCATATAAAAGAAAGCAGGCCACTCTGGCCTAAGAATATGCCAGAATTAGTCACTGCAGAAACACAGACTCTCAAACCTCTAATTGTATGAGTATCAGATAATCTGACTCTTCAGAAAGACTACTTCAATACCATGCATAGGAATATAATAGCTGCTGAGAAACTTACCTTCTGCCCCTTCTTTAGAGCACAATTCTTCACCATATCCAAAAAAAGGGGGGATTTTTTTTTTTTTTAAGATTTATTTATTTATCTGACAGAGGGGAGAGCACAAGCAGGGGGAGTGGGAGAGGGAGAAGCAGACTCACCACTGAGCAGGCAGCCCGATGTAGGTAGGGCTCCATCCCAGGACTCCGGGATCATGACCTGAGCTTATCCGACTGAGCCACCCAGGCACCCCAGGATCTTATTTTTTAAACAATTCACTTATTCAAATACTCTAAGAATGTAAATAACGGTTTCCCATTCAATTTTTGCTCAACGATTAGCAATGTTTCTTGATTTCCAAGCTTTATCCTACCAGATAAGGAAAACATCTCATGATTTTTTCCTTTCTTGAAACCTTGTCACCTGGACCAGACAAGATTTTAAAATCATTTCAGGAATGCCATCACGTGGCTGTAAAAGAACTTTTCTATGCCTCAAAGTTACACGTGTCCCTTCCTAACCCCAAAGGGATGGGGCCTCGATAGAAGCAAGGGTCTCAGTTACCAGGAGGTGACTTCATTACTTAGGGAAGAGTCTGCGATAAACTTCTGTTGCTCACTTATTTTTCACCGATAAATCAATCTGAACAACAGAGGTTATCTGTCTGGAAAGCATTAAGTACCCAGTCTTTCTGCAGTCCTGACTGAGGGATACTAATGCCCACTTGGTATCTGGGGAAGGGGCCGGGTAAGAAACAGGCAGATGATGTGGTGGGGGCCCAGCTAGACAAGCTGTGACTGGCTAGTCGACTTTGGCCACACCCCTCTCATCTTCCTGAACCCTCCACCTCCCCAAGGGATTACTGCTGCATGGATGTCACATGAGCTCATTCGGGTCATTGTTCCATGCTCCCACACACTGGAGCCTGCCCAGTAATCTACACATGCCATCTGAAAGGGAGCGGGAAAGATTTTCTGTGCAAGAAAGAACAAGGGAAACAGGTGAAGGACGGGTTAGGACTGACCTGGATTGCCTGGCGGCCCTGCTGCGCATCGGCCAGCAGCTGGATGGTAAGTGCCCGTGAGTCCTGCAGCGCCTCCTGGAGGTAGATGAAGCTGTGGCCCCCATGCCGGCCCATCGTACACTCACGACAGATGGGCACCGAACAGGTGTCACAGTACAGGTGCAGCACCTGCGGACCAGAGAGCGGACAGGCATGAAGGAGAGATTCGGGACCAGCGGGGAGGGGGCAGCCATGGGGTGCTCTGTGGATTCCAGACCCTCAGCCAACTCCTTCCCAATTAGCAAGCACACCCCTACAGAAAGAGGGCGCAGCACAGTCAATGTGAGCACAACCTGCCCTCCCTTCCTACGCCCTCGGCCCCAAATCAAGGAAAAAACAGCCAATGCCCTCTGTCCACTCCAGTTTCATTCAGAAGTATAACTGAGACACTGCAAAGGCAAAGATGAAATAAAACAATCCTCCTGGCATAAGAGATTTTCCCATGTACCTCAGATTAATTACCCACAAAAGTTCTAAGATTGTGTTTCCTTGGTCTGAGATTGGGGGCCCAAATGAAAGAATATACCAGAAAAATTTGTCTTGCCACCCCAGTCTCTGGGTCTGTGAAACATGGCTAGGAGCCAGAATTAATCACCCTCACACCACAGCTTGCAGCCACCCTCCCCAACAAGGAGATTAGTTCAAAGTGCAAAGCATGGTTCTCCCAGGCACTCAAGCAAGCTACAGGCTTAAGCTTCTGGAAGGAAGGCAAAAAGCTAGTGGTAAGGTCAGCCAGCTTCTTGTCTTTCTTCTTCCTGCCAAGTTGTTCCAAGGAGTTGACCCAGCGAGGCAGCCCGTGCTGACAGAACTGCTTTATGTGATGTTCTGTATTTCCCTGGGGCCCAGCATGCTGGGAGGGGAGAAGGGTTGGCACAACCTCCACCTGCTGATAAATGAGGAGCTCTCAAGAGCAAAAGCTCCTTGGCACAGAAACTGGGCCAGTCTAGCTGTATCCCTCCACAAAGCAGAGCACTTAGCACCACTCTGTGTGTTTGCTGGATTGCTTTCAAGAACAGTGCTTAAATTTGCCGTTGGTATACCTGGGTGTGAGGAAAAGCCAGCCAACATGCAACAGGCAGGGAAGCCGTGTCCAAGGGGCTGCTTTCCCACACACAATACGCTTAATCCCCAGATGAAGACAAGAGGTCATGACGTCTCGGGGCCACACAGCAAGCAGGGGCAGAACAGGGAGGCCAACGTGAGCCTTCTGAAGAGCTGGTTCCGAGACATTCCTGACACCAGCTCTTCAGAGCACTAAGCACCTTACTAGGTATCATGGAGTCCAGGATGTGAGATTTGAGGCAAGGTGATTCTGTGTGTAACAGAACAGGAGCTCACCCTGGCCCAGAAGCAGGCAGAGTGTTACTGGACACGGAGATGGGGAGGGAGGGCTGCAATGCTCCCATTAGAAAGACCCACAGATAAAGGGCCCCGGGTGGGAGTGAGAATGCTGCTTCTCTTCTCTTCAGGTTAAAGATTTACTTATTTGAGTGCACGTTGCTATTGTGTGAGTGGGGGGAGGGGCAGAGGGAAAATCTCAAGCAGGCTCCCCACTGAGCACAGAGCCCTGACCTGGTAAGATCATGACCTGAGCAGACAATTGAGGGAGCCAACTAGGTGCCCCCCACTTCAGGTTTATTTTATTAACCAACCAACACGTTGGCACAGAGCATGTCCACTAGGAAACCGAGCTCAGTCAGGGAAACAGGCCTAATCCACTCAGGATTCAGAGTTAAAAGGGCGGTGAGTGATCCTGCATGGGTTAGGCTGCTTCTCTAGGAACTTTTGGATTCAGAAATAGGGAAAAGATTTAGGATATTATATTCCTATTTCTAGGAAATGGTCCTGATATGGCAGGTTTTATGGGCTCCATACTGTAAGAGGATAAGGTTTGTGACTGGACTAGAACGGCCTGTCCAGTATAGTACTTCCCCAGCAACCTCAGGAGACTGAAATCTGGTGACGGTAATTTGCCTTCACAAACAATTGTGGGTTTTTTTGGAGGGGGGGGAACAGAGGGAGGAGAGAGAGGATCTCAAGCAGGCTCCACACTCAGCATGGAGCCTGACATGGGCCTCGATCCCATGACCCTGAGATATGACCTGGGCTGAAATCAAGAGTCAGACGCTTAACCGACTGAGCCATCCAGGTGCCCCAAGACCAATCACTGTTTAAAACAGGTTCACCATTTAGAGTTGATCTAATCTTTCTAATCTGATAAAGCTAAAATTCCCAAGCTAACCTTAAATACTAACCAAAAGATGCTGAACTGGATAACTTGGGAGGAATTCCTGGACAGTCTCCTTTTGCAATGTGCTGCTAAAGCAACCCCCGCTCCCGTTTCAGCAACTCAACCTCATGCCTTCTGTTTGCTCCCTCCATTTTTCATAGGAATAAAGGCATCACTTCTATGATGCCCATGTGAAGTGTGAAAACCTCCCATCTGCAGGTTCCTTTTAAGTCAGAATGGAACATGTCTCTGAACCTTCTGTCCTCTGCCCCTGCCCAACAGCTAAGCATCTCCTCTTCATCTCTTCTCTGAACAGCTGTGTGGACTGACTGGAGGCCCCTTGCTTTCGTTAGTCTGTGCAAGCATAACTGTTCTCACTCGTACAGTGAGTGGAAAAGAACCTGAGGCTGTTAGTCCGAGCCTGGCATCCTCTGGCCATAGGGCCATTCATCCAGTCACCTGACTGGGCTTGGCTCATATATGAAACACAAGGGGTCTGGCCAGGTGCCTCAGGAGACCACTTACATCCCTGAAATACCAAGAGCCCTATCTCAGGGACTCAACACCACAAACCAAAAGGCTTTGAAATAATTCTGGACCGGGGCACCTGGGTGGCTCAGTCATTAAGCGTCTGCCTTCGGCTCAGGGCCTGGGTCCTGGGATCGAGCCCCACATCGGGCTCCCTGCTCCGCGGGAAGCCTGCTTCTCCCTCTCCGACTCCCCCTGCTTGTGTTCCCTCTCTCGCTGTGTCTCTGTCAAATAAATAAATAAAACCTTAAAAAAAAAAAAAAAAAAGAAAAGAAAAGAAGTAATTCTGGGCCAAGCAAGGAAGCCAGGCACCAATTATGTGACTGCAAGGAACCAAGGTGATTTTTCTGGGTTTTAGGTTTTTACAATCCAGAGCCTGGATGATGTTGTGCATAGGCGATATCCTGCAAATGGTAGGTTTTTCAAGCATTCTGCAGAGGAAGTAGCCAGAAAAGAAATCCTGGTCAGAACAAGCGGCAGCAGGGTACCCAAAGCCCCGGCCCCGGGCCCGGGCCCCTTTAGATACCTAGCCCACGATCTCTCAAGTGGGCAGGGGTATCTGGAGGCAATCCTGCCTGGCATCATGTCACAGGACTGATGCAGCTCTAAGTGCCTAGAGCACACTGTGATTTTGGAGGCTCCAGTGCTCTGCAGTGCCAGGAGGACTGTGGGAACACCACAGAGGTGGGGCTGGTGCTGGGGGACACCCAGCTGGTTCATAATAAAAAGCTATGGGTGAGTAAAACGGCATAGCCCCAGTGGTGCTTATAATGAATAAACTATCAATTTTTATTTTTTAATTTTTTTAAAGTTTTATTTATTCATGAGAGTCAGAGGCAGAGGGAGAAGCAGGCTTCCCGCGGAGCAGGGAGCCTGATGGAGGACTCAATCCCAGGACCCTGGGATCATGACCTGAGCCGAAGGCAGACACCCAACCATCTGAGCCACCCAGGCGCCCAATAAACTATCGATTTTTAAAACAGTGTCCAAAAACTGAAAATACAGTCAATTTTTATAAACCATCTAGCTAAACTTTGGCATAAAACTTTGGGAAGATTTCATGTTCCATTTAGAAGCTCCGTATCTCCTCTACCTGCCATTTCTAAGGTCAAAAACCCACAATTTTAGAGCTTGTGAAACACGGGCAATAATAAGGATGTGCATGGGTGCAATTCTCTCTGCAATAGCTGGAAGATTATTTTACAAAAGAATAAACTGGAACCCATGTCTTCCAAAGGGCTAGAAATGTGGCAGAGGCCATGAACTGTGGCTCCGGAAGGTGGGGGAGGGAGGAGCGGTCCTCGGGCGGCAGGAATTCAGGGCCTGGAGCTGCCTGTTTGGGGCTTCCCGGGCAGATGCACGACACGCCCCCTCCAGCCCCCCTCCCCCCCTCGCCTGGCGACAATCTGGCTGCCCCAGCTGAATGGAGCAGGCTCGACCTCTGACCTTGCAAGTGACCACCCTCTTCCCTGCCCCCAGCTTCCAGAACGCCCCACCCACTGCCTTCCTCTGCCATAATTTCTAAAATACCAGGCACAGACAAAGACCTAGGAATGTGGGCCCAGCAGGAGAGGAAGGAGGGAGGTTAAAGAATAAATAAATAAATAAAAATACCAAGTAGGCAAGTTTACCTTAGCCAGTGCTTAAATAAGTGCTTTGTTAATGAACAAGACTGTGTTCGTTTCTGGAATCTACTTTTTATACTACCTGTGATCCAACAAGGAACAAATGCGTGCGCGCAGGCGCATGCGCGCGCGCGCACACACACACACACACACACACACACACACACACACACACCCCACCCACCCACCCCAGGGGACTCCTGTGAGAACACCATGCATCCAGAAAGAACGCGCTTCCAGTTTAAAATACAACTACCCACATCACTGAGGAATGTAAACTCAAAGGATGGAGGGGCTACTCCTCATTGAGATGCCCCAGTCGAAATATAGTAACTGCAGTACACTTAACGTTTCTGAGATTTCTTTCACATCCCTTAAAACAACTGGGTGCATTTGGCCTCCCACAAACATAGGCCTGGACAAAAGGAGGTCACCACCCACACAAGAGGGTTTCTAAGCTTCCCACTATAGAAATGAAGTGGAGAGTGGCAGGTGACAACCAAAAGCCTTACCTGTGTACACCACCCACCCCGCACAATCTCTCTGGTTAAAGAACCGAAACCATTAAACCAAGTTCAAGGACTAGAGTCCAGCCAGTCTGAAACTAAGTCTGTGAAATAATATCAAAACCAGGTTTTACTTGATTTAGGAAAAATATACAGAATGCCAGTGCTCCAAAACCACAGTCCAAACCCGAGGAAGAAGTCCTCCTGCATCTCTGGCCACGTGCTGCTCCAGAGCTGTGA